TAATTAAAAGCTTTTTATTTTAATTGCATACAATAAATTAGTTAAAAATCACACACTCATCATCATCAATCATTACCTTTCTTATATGAATTTTAAGCAGGTTGTGTTTTAGGAGCTTTAGCAAAAAACAATAGTAGCTTCTATATAGAATGAAAGTTATTGTTACTTTAAATACAGCATACAAATCAAAAAGTATTGCCAGGCCATATACAGGTAATTTGTATATTTAGAAAATGTTTGGGAAATTTTAGATAGTTTCAAGCGAATATTTCTTGAAAAGGTAGTCTTTAATTTTTAAGAGGAAATAGTGAAATGTTATTCTATACTTTCAAACATTAGCCTTAAATTTTTCTGCGAAAGATGCTCTTAACAGATAATTTTGAACAAATATTGAGATAAAAATAACCAGGATAACAAAGATTATAAATGTTGTTGGTTCATTTTTAGAGTGGTGTTGCCAGAAATATTGGAGTAATTGTTTTACCATTTCAGTAGACAATATTAAGAAACAGAATAAAAGGCATTCCTTAAATCTAAATACTTATTTCAATGCAATTGTAGGTGCTATTATCATTTACTAAACCCTGTCTCACAAATTTTATTCTAATTATATGGAAGTATAAAATGCAAAAAATTTTAAACTGATGGTCTAACTGTTTACTAATGAATTTATTCAGGAAAGAAAGAAAATCTCCTAATTCATGGTATGAAGGTTTGAATTAATAGATTATCTAGCATTTCAAAATCTTAAATTCATCTTTAAAATTAAATATACAACTATGATAAACAATTTAATTCATAATTGATTTATTTGGCAACACTTTTAAATTTTTATTCTGAATGCTACCCAATTGAGTTAAAAGTAATTATAACTGATATCTGTATTATATGAATAATCTTGGAATTATTGATAAAATCATTTGAACTATAAATAAAGTTTCACTTATATTCCTTAAAATTCAAATTTTGTTCTTAAAAAAAGGAAATTACATAAAGCTGATGTTTATTTCTTATCGTATATGATTAAATTAATTAATAACTTTTCAACATTTTTTAGAAAACTATTACTAGCTTTATGTCGAGCTTGTAAGAGTTTATTACCAATTGAACAGTATATCAAATGCTCAGAAATCAATACTAACTTATAAAACTTAATTTACTCTATTGATTTAATATAATATAGTTTTGGAGCTGATTAATACTTTTTGGAAATATTATCCTTAGTTAACATCAATATAAGTTAATCTCAAAGCAAAACATTGTTTAAATAGTAATTCTCTCGTCAATATTCCTTGCAAATTTTAAATAATATAATAAGTTTAATTTGTCTGAAAACTTCACTATTGAGGAATCAATAAATTATTTAGAACCTAAAGTAAGTACGAAATAAAATCATTAATTCAAATTCGAAATTTAGAAATTGAGCAGATTTAAATTAATTAAGATGGCATAATTTTAAAGGTGTTGATAAAATTGCATTTATCTCAAAAAGAGATAAATTCAGAAGATAATATACAAATTTTTAATGGTAAAGTTGTGTTTAAACTTTATAAAATATAAATATTTTCAAAATTAGATAAAATTATATATTGGAAGAAAGTATTAATGTAAACAATGTTAAAAATAGTTTATGTAATAATTCATAAATATTCTTCAAATGAAATTCAATTAAAGGACATTTTAATTGTGATAATTATTATCTATATTAAATTTTTGGTAAAGAATAAGCCTTGTATGTTTGAAAGTTAATTATACTTTCTAAGTAACAATAAACTATAATTAACAAGCAATTTTTGTCAGAAATTATTAATTTATTTAAATTATATTAATAATTAATTGTAAATTTTAAGAAAAATTCAAATATTTGATTACTTTAATCACTTCATTAATTTAAAAGATTTTGTATTTTTATATGATTAGTAAATTCCATAAATCCAATTTAATTAAAATCTTCAAAGCCTATCCATAAAACCATCAATAAAATTATCAGTATTTTTAATCTTATAAAATTATAAAAATCTGGCTTTTAATATACAAATCTAGGAAAATAATATTATCATACAGAGAGCTGAATATGGCATTATTGCCATTAGTTTTTCTATGCTAATATAATATTAATATTACATATGGTTAAATGGATCATATTTAAAATCAATCTAATACACAGAATAGTCAACAATGTCAAAACAAAATAACTTGATCAACTAAAAATGAGACTTACAGTTAAATTAATTTATCAGTAATAAACTTTGCTTTAAAATATTATGACAGTGAGCTAAAGAACATTGAAGTAACGTGAAACAAAAAACAAAACCAAAAATTGGAGTCGATGTAATAAGTAAGCATTGCCAGTCACATTTTTCAGTTACATGCTAAGCTGTAAAGAAAAAAAAACTAGAAGAATTATTAGTTAAGACTAAGAACAATTTTAAGCTCATTATAGTTTATAACCATTTTTATTTTTAGAGAAGTTAAACTAACTACCATAATGATAATTTTATTTGTGAATATTTTAAAATCACAATTACATATTAGTAATTGAGGATTTTCGAGTGATTAAAAATATAATTGCCATGTAATTTATCTTTAAACCATTAAAAATTGAATAGATAAAATTTAAATAAAAAATAATAATTGGTGGACATCTAAAATCTAAATTATTGTGATATTATTTATAATTAAAAGCTTTTTATTTTAATTGCATACAATAAATTAGTTAAAAATCACACACTCATCATCATCAATCATTACCTTTCTTATATGAATTTTAAGCAGGTTGTGTTTTAGGAGCTTTAGCAAAAAACAATAGTAGCTTCTATATAGAATGAAAGTTATTGTTACTTTAAATACAGCATACAAATCAAAAAGTATTGCCAGGCCATATACAGGTAATTTGTATATTTAGAAAATGTTTGGGAAATTTTAGATAGTTTCAAGCGAATATTTCTTGAAAAGGTAGTCTTTAATTTTTAAGAGGAAATAGTGAAATGTTATTCTATACTTTCAAACATTAGCCTTAAATTTTTCTGTGAAAGATGCTCTTAACAGATAATTTTGAACAAATATTGAATTAAAAATAACCAGGATTAAAAATGTTGTTGGTTCATTTTAAGAGTGGTGTTGCCAGAAATATTGGAGTAATTGTTTTACCATTTCAGTAGACCAACATATTAAGAAACAGAATAAAAGGCATTCCTTAAATCTAAATACTTATTTCAATGCAATTGTACGTGCTATTATCATTTACTAAACCCTGTCTCACAAATTTTATTCTAATTATATGGAAGTATAAAATGCAAAAAATTTTAAACTGATGGTCTAACTGTTTACTAATGAATTTATTCAGGAAAGAAAGAAAATCTCCTAATTCATGGTATGAAGGTTTTAATTAATAGATTATCTAGCATTTCAAAATCTTAAATTCATCTTTAAAATTAAATATACAACTATGATAAACAATTTAATTCATAATTGATTTATTTGGCAACACTTTTAAATTTTTCTTCTGAATGCTACCCAATTTAAAAGTAATTATAACTGATATCTGTATTATATGAATAATCTTGGAATTATTGATAAAATCATTTGAACTATAAATAAAGTTTCACTTATATTCCTTAAAATTCAAATTTTGTTCTTAAAAAAAGGAAATTACATAAAGCTGATGTTTATTTCTTATCGTATATGATTAAATTAATTAATAACTTTTCAACATTTTTTAGAAAACTATTACTAGCTTTATGTCGAGCTTGTAAGAGTTTATTACCAATTGAACAGTATATCAAATGCTCAGAAATCAATACTAACTTATAAAACTTAATTTACTCTATTGATTTAATATAATCTAGTTTTGGAGCTGATTAATACTTTTGGAAATATTATCCTTAGTTAACATCAATATAAGTTAATCTCAAAGCAAAACATTGTTTAAATAGTAATTCTCTCGTCAATATTCCTGCAAATTTTAAATAATATAATAAGTTTAATTTGTCTGAAAACCTCACTATTGAGGAATCAATAAATTATTTAGAACCTAATGTAGTTATCTATTAAATCTATAAAATAATTGCAGGACCAAGATTATTAAATGGACAGTTTTTGGAGATTTTGAGCCTACCAAAAGATATGATTTTTGTTAATACTATGTTAACTCAATAATGAAAAAATATCTTTGATGAAATTATGTGAATAAATAACTCATAATAATAAGTTTTTATATAAATAAAATTTATAATTTGAAATTTAATATATAATTAATTTATAAATAGAGGAAAAAAACATAATTACTATAACCATGAGATCTCAAATTTAAATGTGCTTTTAATTACTTTCAAATAAAAACCGTAATTAATATGATATTACTTTACATATATGAAGATTTTTACTGAATGAGGTGATTTTTTTTAATTCCTTTTTGGCATAGTTTTGGAGATGAATTGTAATTATGGTGAGATTAAATAATTAGTTCATAAAATAGGATTATTTACATAAAAACCTTCATAAGGAATAGGGTTAGTAAGTACATAAAATATTTTGTAATTGCTGATTATTAGATAAGTAAGTCATAAATTGTGATTTTACTTAAATTATTGTTCGTCTTTTTGATTATTGGAATTAGATTATAACATGGTTTCCAATTTTAAGTTCATGACTAACTCAATTCACTTAGAGGTAAGTTTTCACAAATCAATTAATTGAATAAAAAATTGCAGGATTAACTAATTTGGAAGAAAGAAGAATTATTGAACATGTCTAATTTTTAAAGTTAGAATATAAGCAAAAATCTATCATTACCAAAATTTTAAATATCGCAAGGCCATTTTCATTAATCCTAATTAATTAAATATTAAGATAAGTTTAGGATCAAATGAATAGGCAAAGGAGGAAAGACGAGCGATTGTCGGCAGATCTAAAAAATTGAATCGAGTTGTTGCATAAATATCTATATTAAAATGTACTAATCATGTTTTAGGGATAGATTTAAATTAATTTTAAGTTTATCAAATTATTTCTTAATGAGGATTCTCGATTATACATTGAAGTAACTCTTTATGTGAATTATAGATTGCAATAAAAACAATATTCAATCCAAAATAATAATAAAATTGTAATAATTTCATTATTAAGACATACCAAGAGTGTATTATGAATGACTTGTTGTACAAAGCATCAATTTTAGTAATAAAAAGCCAAATAAGACGGTCATAATAGTTATGTACAATCAGTATGCTTCTCACGCGATGGAACTACTTTAGCGTCTGGCAGTTATGATAAGTCAAATAAGATTACAGGATGTTAAAACAGGATAATTCAAAGCCTAATTAGATGGTCATAGTGAATGGGTATAATGAGTATGCTTCTCATTAGATTGAACTACTTTAGCATCTGGTAGTGTTGATTAGTCAATCAGATTATAGGATGTTAAAACAGGATAATTCAAAGCCTAATTAGATGGTCATAGTGAATGGGTATAATGAGTATGCTTCTCATTAGATTGAACTACTTTAGCATCTGGTAGTGTTGATTAGTCAATCAGATTATAGGATGTTAAAACAGGATAATAAAAAGCCTAATTAGATGGTCATAGTGAATGGGTATAATGAGTATGCTTCTCATTAGATTGAACTACTTTAGCATCTGGTAGTGTTGATTAGTCAATTAGATGATGGAATGTTAAAACTTGATAATAATAAGCCAAATTAATTTTCAAAGAGTATATTTAAGGTGGAGGTTTATTTAATTTTATTGCATAAACAAAAAAATAAAATAAGAAATAGATTTGCCATCTAAAATGAATAATTTAAATACTCAATAGCAATTTAGATAGCTCTTGTGCTGTTATGCATTCATTTTGCAAGAGCAAATTTACATAGAAATGTAAATCATTTAAGGTACTTTTGTAGTATTAGACAATAAATTATGAAGTTTTGGTTTAACAAAAAGAAGTGTAATAATAAATGATTGTCTGAATTGAATTAAATGTATCAGTAATTCAATGGGACAGAGTTATTACAATTTAATTCAGAATTCAAATATTCTTAATAATGATCTTCTAATGCATATTTAAATAGAGTGAATTCAATGAAATATTTAGTGGAGGAATTAGCTCATTTTTATTTTTTTACATGATTTTAGCATTCAGAGAGAAATAAGTAAAAAAGCATTTGTTATGGCTCTAAATTTGATTATTATAAAAAGCGCATATAATGGGTAAGGGAGGAAGCATTATAAACAACCCTATACCTGCGGCTTTTAATTCTTTCTCTATATATTTATGGTATAATTCAAAAAGTTTAAAAGACTTTTTCTAAAAATAATTAAATTTTTGCATAGCCTAACAATTTTTTAGTATACATATAAGTTGGTTAATTGTTTCATAATTAGAGTTAGGAAAGTTCTTAATGAAATAAATAATGTATTACATTACATTCTAATATAGAAAATGCAATTCCTGCTCCATAACCTTCAATTTTCCATTTTTTTAAATTGCTTCAAATTTAAGTGTAAACCAATATAATGTTCAATATCTTGATAAATCTTTTTATTAGATTCCACATGATAATATTCCAATTTCTTAAGATAAATCAGCTACTTCTTTATCTGCAAATAATAGTACATGACCTGAACCTAATAAATTTTTATATAACTACTCCTGATTCTGGGGTGTATTCAGGTGTAGAATGATGTATAATTTATTAAGTATAATTAAAATTCTATTCGTTGCTTTTGACCATATTCTATTTCTGCTATTAGATAAGCATCAATGTCTCTCAATTATTGTATTTTATATTCTAATCCCAAAGCATTTTCTATTTTTTAAAGATTTTTTAAATATCTTTATGACATCACTTGCTAAACTTTTTCTCTTTAAATGGTACTATTGGAAATTATTAATCATTATCTATTACGACTTCATTGTATCTTTACTTTAAATCAAAAACCAACTCATTAAATTTATAGTCTTCAACCTTTTCAAAAGTTAATTTGACTATTATGTCTGAATCCTGAAGTATTTTCCTTCATAAACTTCATGTATTTAAATAAGATTTTTGTAATTTATCTTTCTCATTATAGTCATTACTTTAACTAAAGCAATTAAGTCCGTTTCTGAATTTTTAGTTTTGAATACTTTTTATTGCACAAAATTTCTTTGTTAATTTATTTATAGTCTAAGACACTTTTGCAAAGTTACTTTTCCCAATAAACCTCTATTATAGTGTAATCTTCTTTAAATTAAGCAAGAGTAGCACACTTTTCTTAATTTTTCCCAAAGTTATTCATTGACTACTTTTGATTTATTATAGAGCTCTCTGTATTAATTAAACGAAACAAATTTTATTATAAATTTCTTTCTCTTATTTATTTTCTTACTCTAACATTTGAATTTTAAACAAATTTAGATTTATGATGTGATATGATTTTGTGTTTGGTTATTTAATTAATACCTTTTTTTAATATATTAAAATAACTCTGACTTTCATGATTCAAGAGGGTTATAATAATTTTAAAAAGAAATAATCACATACCCCTTTATTACTATAATATGATGATTAACCATAACAACCATTATTCATTTAAAAATCCTTCCTATATCGCTAAAATAACCTAAAATTAAATAAAATTAATTAAATGCAGTACCAAAACAAGCACATCCAATTCCTGCGTAGAATTTACCTTTATTAGTTTCTTTGGCTCCAATTAAATTTACAACAGGATAAATTTAATTAAGCTGTAATTGAAATAATATATCTTAAATGGAAAGATTTTAGCATCAACATCTTATATTTTTACTAATTTAGCTACTCTTCATTTTGGTAATAAAAAATCATAAACTTTCCATAAAGGTTCTTCCTAATTTAATAAACTTTTTAAGTCTTATATTTTAATGAATATCCTTCAGGACTATGTGGAAGTTTTTTTTATTATTTAGTTCTATTTGATTATTATAAATCTCAATCACTTTATGGTGTTGTTGATATACCCTCTATTTATTGAGTTGAATTATAATCTTCATCAAATTCTTAATCCCTTCAAATATTTGATAATTAAAGTTTTTCTAAACTCAAGATCACATAAAAAAGCTATTTATTAATTTAAATTTCTAATGCTCATTAATCTAAATTTCTAATCATCCCGATAGTCTCTTAAATTTTACCAGAACTATCTTTAACTTTTAATATGTAGCTATTAGTATACTTAAGCATCTACATCTTATTAAAATGGTATAAATTGAAATTAAGATTTATCTCCTATGATTTTTATTTAATCATCTAAATTATTGTAATGGTAATCTATATCTTATAGCACCTAATCTATTACAGTTTATTGCTTTAACAATTTATTCATTTGATTTGTATTCCTTATTACTGTTCTTATACATGAACGAACTTTAAATGTGTTTCTGCCATTCTAAGATCGATCCAACTTTAAATTCATCAACTGTTTTCTTCTTGAAAATCTTATTTAAGATTAGCTAATACAATTTTTAATTCTTCTATTTAGGTTTTATTCTTATTTTTAAATCAAACTTATTATCCATATCTTTAAACTTATCATCAACAACATCTTAAATTTATTCTTTATCAGCCTTTTAATTTCAATATTGTAGGAATCATAATTATTATTTATCATACTATTATATTTAATTAAATTCAGCTCTTATATATTCAACATTGAGTTTAACGCACAATAAGTTCAGTTTCATCTTTCTAATAACTGCTTAATAATTTGAAGTTATGATGCAAATTAAAATATCTTACAGATATTAAGATTGAGTTTTCTTTTGCTTAAACGCATATTTTTAAGTTGTTTAGAGAACATTAAACAAAGTTATATCTTTAAGGAGATTTCTTACCCTAAGAATAAAAATTTTGTTTGAAGTTGTTAAAATTTCTTCTTTCAAAGTTTAGGCTATTTGTATTATATAATTTCAATTTTATTATAGTATTTCTTATATCTAACATAAAAGGGATCCATTTTCGTTCCCAAATGCTTTAGAGATATCCATTTATTCTAAAGGAGATTACTAAGAAGATTGAATGTATTCTATTCTTAAGTTTATGCATAATCTTCATCTAATAAGCGTATTGTTATTTTCTGTTTATTTTTGAGATTAGGAACTGATCATTTGATGATTCAAAAATTCATTTTGTTTTCATAAATTAATTCTTGATTTCTCTAATTTTCTAACAATTTGCAATAAAATGCTCCATTTTCCTTCTATTACTGGAGGCTACACAATTTTTAAAAGTTCTTAAGTAATTAAGTTATTGTTTAGAGTGAGGATGATGATGCTCAATATTATTAAAAGGATTTTAGAAATTCCTCTTTATTTTTGGTTTCATCATGTATTCACAACTCTTGGAACTAATTCTTCTTTAATCGTCTTTATTTTGATATCTAATCTTCTCTTTTTAACTAATCATTCATACTTATCTAGCCTTATATGGATCTAAGAGTTATCAAAGATTAACTATATTATTTTAATAATATATTTATTAAAAAATATTTTTTTAATTTAGAGTACAACATAAAGTTCATAAAGTATAAATCCTGAGATGCAGTTGTATGTTTTAATCAAATGGATAGTAATTTAGTGGTGGTGGATCATATAAGGGCGAGAAAAAAATTGGGAGGTGGATAGAATTAGATGAAGAGTTTAATTTGTTTAAATAAATCACTTATGATGGTAATATGAAGGGTAAGAAGGTAGTAGATGGGATATGTGGTGGAAATGCAATGGTTAGAATAAATAAATGAAAAATATTACTTAAGTGTAGGGCAATTTGTTAATGTTGGTGGATCTTATGATTAAGGCTAGGATTATAAAAAAGATTGGGAGATGGGTAGAACTAGATCCATTTTTTATGAGTATAAATAAGTCACTTGTAGCGTAAATACAACTTTAAGGGTATGAAAGATGGTATATGGGTGTAAATATATATAAAGGACAATAAGAAATATGGAGAAAAGAAATTTGATAATTGAATACTATTACAAGAATGTTAATGAAATAGAAAATTGTTTCATTTTAAATTATTTTCTTAATTTTTGGATGATTATTCATGAAGAGTTCAATGATTAAAAGTTTCTAGTGAGCTTAATCAGAGAGTTTAAAATATATCAATTAATTTTGGATATGTTACAACTTTGGATAAATTAGATTTTAAACTCTATTAACTTACATTTTCTAAGCAAATAAATTTATATCAGGACTAGTAATAATTTGATTATAATATTGGCATATAATCAAAATAATTCTTTTGTTTACAAATAGAAATAGGATGGACATACAATTTAGGATTAAACAATAATAAAGATGTTATTGTCTCATTAGTGGTTCTTCTAAACTAAATATCAAAAATTTTATAATTATTTGTATTTGATTCATTACAAATCTAATTGATAGCCTTTATTGACTGGAGTGTGCTTAATGTATCAAAAAATGGTTAATTATTCTATAGAAAGTAAGCTAAAATGATGAATTGATAACAATATAGAGTATTAAGTTTGAATAAAGAAGTCATAGATAATTAAGAGCATGATACAGATTTGGCCAAGTTTTAGATAATCTATTACTTTATTATGAGTTATTTCAATTATCCTAATTATTTATCTTGTTGCTAATGTTATGAACTGAATAATTGTTATGGTTATTTCCAAATTACTAAAAAAGAAAATAATAAAGTAAGGTTATATTGGAATTTTGATTAATATATCCCGAAACCTTCTTAAAATGCTCATAGGAGTTCTAGATAGATAAGCTTATCTTATTTGCTGTGCCTCAATTATAAGAACTTTAGATTATTTAATAGAATACCCATCAGCTACTTGAACACCAAACGTATGACTATTTAAACTACAGAAATATGTACTTATCATGTTATAATAATTTAAAAGTTATTAAATATTAATATATAAAGTATTACTGTATTTTTTATAAATTTTTATATAAATAATTCGAAGTGAATTATTTTAAATATTTTTCTCTATCTCCTTAATATTTCACAAGATTGAATTCATAAAACATACATTATATAAATTATTTCTCAATAGTTTTAATCATAAATAAGAATTCTGAGAATCATCATTGTAATGTTGATCAATAAGGTAAGAAACATTAGATATTCAACTAAAATTATGCATTGCTAATAAATAATATTGTTGAATAATTTTAATGATACGGTTCGAATAACTTAAACAATTGATCTATCTCTATAAATTATTAAAAAATTATACTTGAATAATTTGGGAAAAAAAATCATTAAAAAAATTAAAAATTGCTTCAAAATTTTACAACCCATAAAAGAATTAAAGCTACGTACTTCTTTTGAGCCAATACCATATTCCTATCTCAAGAATCATATCCTCCTCCAGTCTAGTAATAAAAATTTTACACTCTTTTTCACTAATAAAGTTATCAACTAATTCTTGAAATAGAAAATGTTTAATTGAGGAAAAATCAATTTTGAAAGAACCATTATAATAGATAAGATTAACCTAAGAATGTTAAAACAATTTACCAAAAACAAAAGAATGAGTGAAGAAAATTATTGAATAAAATTATAATCACTAAAACAAACAATTAAAAATATGCAAATAAATAAGGGCTTAATGTTGAAAGAAATTCAACTAATATGTCATCATCTCAACAAACTTTATAATTATTTGACTTAAATGAATTGGCAATATTTGTATTAGGAACTTTTAGTATGGAATCAGAACAATAAGTAAGAATTAAAAAAATAATTGGATAATGGAAAGATTTTTGGATAGCTTCCTTTATGTATAAGAATTGAATAATTATTCAAGACAGATTCTTAAAGCCAAATATCGATAGAGTAAAAATGATTTTTAAATAGCAGAGGGAGGCCAAATTTTAAATTCTAAAGAAGGCTACTTTGAAGATAAATGAATAATAATAATGTTATATTTTGAATGAAGATAATAGTATATCTTAATTTTACTAACCTTAACAGCATAATTATCAATTTTTTTGAGGTCTATCTTTAATGAATTGATTTCTAAATTGGTTAAGAAATTTTCTATGATTTCCACTAATAATAGGATTGTTATTATAGATTCAACCAAAGCATGTATTATGAAATCCTATGTTATTAGATTTGATTATATTAATATGTTGCCTATGTTGTTGTTGTTCTATAAATATATATTACTATATAAATAATATATATATTTTAATTAGAGGTAACAATAGATAGACTACTCTTAAAGTCTAAGGGAGTAAAAATGATTGATGGAGCCTCCTCCACAAAAGTTATTAATTTCAAAATAAATTAAAAACTTATGCATTTAAATATTCTTGAAGTTCCTCTTTTTCTTTATTTCTTTCTATCATATTCTATAATTTATCTGATCAAAATGCTGCTCATTTAAGTTTACGTTATCCTTTCACTTAAAAAATCAATTATTTTTTCTAATTAAATTAATTATCATTCTTTGATATTATTCTTTGATATTATTAGACTGAAAGCACTACATTTTGAGAGTGTATCTATCTTCAGTTTTGATTTTAACATGTTTGAATAATTCAGGGTTGTTGTCTCTTTTTATAATTATTTCTAATCTTGCAAATCTTCCTCTTCTATTAAAAATTCCCTTCCACTCTTACTTTAAGTTTCGATTTTGGGAATTCATCAGTAATTTTCAATTAAAATAATATATTAATTATTGCTCATCTAAAATAATTACAAATATTATAATTCAAAGCAGAATTTATTTTCAAAATAGTTCTTAATTCTCTTTTCCTATCTTTCTTTAACTAATCTTTTCATGAGAACAGATATTTTTGATAGCTTCTTTAATAATTAATCAAACATGCTATCATGCAGTAATTATTCAATAAATGCATTGTGAATAGCAGGAACAGCATTTTAAGAAATAACTTTTAACAAATAATTCCCTCATGCAAATTGTTTAAATTTGATTGTAGTATTAATTCTTCTGTTATATACTGTCAAGTAAAAACATGTTTTAATTTTATGAGACCAATGTGGTTGTTTAAACTCATGCATATTAGTTAGTTTGGCTAACAAAAATGCATTGAAGATTCAACTATTAGTACATGTATTAATAAGTTATGTCTTAATACTACTGGAATTAGTACATGAGTTTAGGCTAATTGAGATTCATGGTTGAGTGTTTTAAATTAAGTAAACCTACTTCTATAATTAAAAATAATTTTTCAAATTGTTCATCAGCTGCATAATCACTGTCTTAACTTTACAAATAGTTATTTATGAATTAGGAATCTAAATAAAGCAATGACAGGGCTTATAATAATTTTATTTGAACAGCCAATCAGATTAATTATTATAATTGCAATGCTGCAAATCCTGGATCTAACCTAGCTAATTACCCTACTAAAAAAGCAACTGAAAATCAAAAGGAGGTGCTAACAATATTCTGTATATTCAACCACTCCTATTTAATTTTAACAACTAGTTAAACATTTGCTCATAGTAACTGCTACATAGTAGGTGAATAGAATGTGTACAATACTTATTATATGTGGATGGAATGGGATATTTGTGTGAATCGTTCTTGTTAAACTGCCTCCAACAGTAACATATAGCAATTATAGTATTGGTTAAAATTATATAGATGTACAATAGTTGAAACTAAGATTTTTTTGCATATTTAAATAAGCAGAATATTGAGTGGAAAAACATTGACAAACTAGTTATGTTATTGGAATATAGAATTACCACTTACACTATGTGAATAACATTAATATTTATATTATTCAAACATACATTATTGTAGATTAGATGAATGTGAAGATCTCTCATTCTCAACAGATTTTGAATGTAAATATTTCTAAAATAAATCAATCATGTACAAAATCAACGCTGACCTTAATATAAATATCCTTTGTTAGCACAATGTTGTGATCCACCTTATTTAACCTCATAAGGATTTTAAAAATACTTTAAATGGATGCATTGATTTAACAGAATGTTTCGATTACAAGTAGAAAGTATAATACATAATAAAATCTCAATCGTTAAAATTATTAAAAAATTAAATAATTTAGACAGGATATTGTGCATGAAATGGTAAATGTAGAGATCAATAGTGTGAAGATTTATGTGCTAAAACTCAAGAATCATGTGAATCAAAGCTTAAACGATTAGGCTCTATAATTTATTGTCCTTTATGTTAAATATGATAATGTGCCTGATCCTAAAGGTCTAAAGTATCAATCTTGATATTGGTATATAAATATTTTCTTAAAGCAAAATTTTATAAGGATATTAAAGGAAAGAAATTAAAATAATTAATTATAAAAAACATTAATTAAATTAAAAAATATAAAACAATAACAGACTTATTTATCGAAGAAGAAATTATTACGGTAAGAATGATAAAATGACAAGAAGGAAGGAATTTTGAATAAAATAATAGAACTTTTGAAAAGTAATTATTTAAGAATGAACCCACTAAATTTAACGAAAAAGAATATAATAGATAATTAGAAAAAAAATATCATGAAGAGAGCCTATAAAATTTATTGAAGAAAAGATAATAAAGAATCAGGAAGGAATGATGGAGAAAAAATTATAAGAAGGACATTAATTTAAAAGGATTCTTAATTAAATGAAGGAAATAATTTAGGAAATTAAAAATAAGAGGATATTGTTTCTTAAAGAAATATTGTTGAAAATAGTTTAGCTGATGGTACAATGGTGAAAATCATAGCTTAGAATGAGTCTATAAACTATATAAAGAAGAAATATTTGTGTTGAATTTTGAAACATAATAAATGGAAAGAAAGTTAGTTAGTACAACTTATAATACTAATGCTAAGTTGGAAAATGTTAAGGAAACAGATGAAGGTGAAGATGAAAATGTTATTTTATCAAAGAAATAATAGATAATTAGTATACATTTTTAGATGTATAATTAAATAAGAGGGAAAATTAGAATAAGTGGTTAGTAAGGAGAACCAATTCAATTTATAAAAGAGAAAATTAATAAGGTGTTGAAAAGTTTTTTAAGAAGAAATTTTTTGAATGTAATAAATGGAAATTTATTATCAAGAAATTGTTGAAAATAATGAATCATAAACATAATGGGTTTAGGTTGAAGAGTTGTTGAGAATTTATTCTCATCAGAATAATGAATGATGGTTGGAAATAAAATTAAGGAAATATAGAATTACTTTTAATTAAAATAATTATGAATTTATAATTATATTAATTGTTGTAAATAATGAGTATCAAAAGACTTAATAATAAAGATGGAGAAAATTAAATGAATCTTAAACTCTATAATGTAATTAATATAAAACAACTATCTATTTAAGAAGATTATAATGTAGATATACGAATGAAAATATACTTTAAGGAGATGTAGATGAACAAATTTAAAAAATATTTCAAGAGCTGAAGTTGCATTTTAACATAAATTGGTGAAATAAAGTTGGCTTAAAATAGGTGAATTTAAAGAGTGATTGCCAAATTAAATAATCTAAATCCTTAAGGAAGTTATAAGAATTAGATGAATTGTAAGAAAATGCTTTTCATTTATTTGAAAGATAGATTGTTAGTAGGAGTAATGCGAAGAGTTCTAAGGGCTAGTTTTTTGACTGGAGGTTAATATCAATAAATGAAGTATTGAACTTCAATTCCTGAATTAAAATAACTTAAGAGGAAACAAACTATCAATTATTTATAAATATGGAATAAAGAATTATTTATAAGCAGAATATCCTTAAATTCAATTTCAATATTGAGATAAGGATTAAAGAAGAAATTGTGTGATGAATTTGAATATATAGAAGCATTATACAGGAACATTTACAAAGTATTTTTTTCATTTAAGGTAATATATTTGATTAGTAGAATAGATGCCATTATATGATTAATAATATAGTAAATGTAATAGAAGGATTAAAGATTACAATTTATATTGAAATATATTAGGAATCTATAGAAAATTTGCATGAAAATAGGACATTGAATGATATTTAGAATTTATTTAGAGAAATTAAACCAGAATATATAAGAACATCACTTAAGAAGATGTTTTTAGAAGATTTTGATATGTTTTGCGAATCAGAAGTATGATGAAAGGAATATGAATACATAATTGATGCCCACTTCTTAAGAAGTATTATTGAATTGTTAAAATTTGAATGAAGTTGGATGATTTAAAAGAAGCAGTGAAAGGTTTTGATAATTTTATAGATTTATTCAAGAATGCATCTGATCCTTTAAAAGCAAAGAGTTTAATGTTTAAAAAAAGTAATTAGAATAATATTAGATAATTAAATTAGAACACTTGATGATATTATGTATGATGATGAATTGAGAGTTATGCTCAATAAGAAATTAGAAATATTATTTTTTTAGCTGAAATGATTTAAGTAAGCCCAAAACCAGGAAAAAAATAATTATACATATAGCTTTATTTTTAAATTAAAATATAAATTTGAAAAATTTTGATCCTATTAAAAATTAATATAAAGACGAAATACTTTTTTTTTTATCAATACATCAATTTATAGATCAAAATTTGAAATATTATTTGAAAATATCTCAAAAAATTAATTGATCCAATAAAATAATTATAAAAATGCAATAAAACAAAAGAGATATTAATATTTAAGAATTATTAGGTGGAGGTATTGGAGTTCCAAAAAGTTAGCAAATTATTTTGGTAGTATTGGAAACACATTTATATGGAGATGAATTTATGGCTTTTGGTGCTGTTTTTCATGCTTCTGCTAATCTAATTCATTTATTCATAGTTAGAACAATTTTATTGACACATGGTTGTGGCTTCAAAAGTTCAATTGAGGTAAATGAAGTTAATGAAGATGATTGTCATAAAGAATTCTTATTATTTGAATACAAATAGAAATTTGAAAGTACTAGTCAAATGGAATTCTCATATGATAAACATTTTAAATTGGATATTTTGTTAAAAAGATGAATAGAAATCTCAACTAATTTCATATTTCTTAAAAAAATTATATTACAAATGCTACAGGACTTAATTTCAATAAACCAGAATTTCTCTTACATTCATTCCAATTTCATCTGGATTTATTAAACAAGAAAGTGCTGAAATGAAAGTTGAAGAAATTAACTCATGAAGTTAAACCTAATATTACATTAACTAATATTGCCTCATAAGCAAAACTTGAACTGAAGAAAGGTGATATATATGAAGAATAAGTTTTATAAGCTGAAACTACTTAAAAGATGAAGAACAAAAATTTTTTAAATAACAAATTAAAAATACCTTCCTAATTAATTATACTATTACGCATCATGTTATATTAGGTTTGAATTAATAAGAAATTGAAGATTAAAAAAAAAATATTTAATAATTAGAAACAGCAGAAGAAAATAGTAGAAAATTAAGTGAAATTAAAAATAAGTTAGAACCACTTATTTATACAGTCTGAGAATTTATAGATGTAAATATTTCTAAAAGGCATCAAATGAAATTGAAAGAACTGAAATCTTAAAAACTGTTGAAGAGCATACTAAATATCTTTTGGGCAGCTGATTTCGATAAATTCAATACTAAAATTAAGTTTACTTAATTGTGTAATTCCTAATTATTTTTTTGTATAAATTAGATTAAAGCCTATTTAAGTTAGATAAGATGAAGCTAAGGTAGACCTTAAGCTGTTAATGAAACCATGACAAAATTAACTGATTTATATAAAAAGGCAAATGCTCTCAATCCTACTATGCCTTGGATTCTTAAAGAAAAAAAATTTCTCTTTTTAGGACATCTCACTAATATATCTGAATGGTTGAAACTTAATTAGATGAATAATTATTAAATTATAAAATAAAATCTTATTATTATTATGATTATAACTCATCTTTCTAATCAGTAATTTATTGAAGTTATTTACTGGAATTATTTTCTGGTTTTGTAACTTCTATTCCCTACTATTTAAATAGATTCTTATTTATATTCTTATCGCTTATAATATTGTTTAACCTTATATTAAGGTTATTTTGATTATTATTTCAGTTTAATCTTATCCTTGGTTTTATTTAATAGATTCATTTTTCTTCTAATCTTTCTTCTTTTTTATCTGGTTTGACTTCTTTTTTCATATATGTTGCTCCCATAAGCTTTTATCTTAACTTTCTTTCTTCATCAGATTAATTGGCATATTTTTCTTTAACTTTTTCATTATATTATTTTTGCTTTGATTGTTAAGTTTAAGAATTTTTTAAATTCTTTTTATTTTCATCAGAACGATCATTTTGCAGAACCTTTTATATTTTTTTTTTAGTTATTGTTATTAATTTCGTTATTATTATTATTATAATAATTTATATAATAACTATTTAGATTATTATTATTATAAATATTTAGATATGATTATTAAGTTTATTAATTTTATTAGGATTCTTTTTATTTTTTATCATTTCTTTATTATATAATTTTAGCATTAGGATTGACTTCAAAAATAGTATATTCTTTATCACCTTATTCATAGTCATTTTTTGAAAGATCAAGTAATTCATCTTTATTATCATTTTTGATTCATTTTATTCAGAATCTTCAACTTAAGATTATTCTTCTCTTAATTTATTCTTTCTTTCTTCTTCATGTCTTTCAATTCTTTCTTAATACATTTGATATAAAATAGTACAACCCATTTCTAATATAGGAGGATAAATAAAATTCTTTTTTCCATAAATCAAAAAAGACCCAGATGATAAATTCATACCTAAAGGTACGCCTTTATTAACTTAAGATACATGTACCCACCACCCAGAAACAACAATTTTAGCATCCCAAGATTTAGATCTGCAAATTGTAGCAGCAGCTGCTTTCATAATAGTTGATTCAGGATTAAGCACTTCCTTAGGATTCTTTATTATTGTTGAGGCTGATTCATAAATAGTAGCATGCAGATAAATATCATCTTTATTCATATATCTCTTTACTATCATTTCATTCTATTGTAAATGTTTACTTCTTTCAAAGCACTTTTCTATGCTTATTTTGATGCTTATTCTCCAAAGAATACCACTGTTCATCCTCTTTTGAGTCATGCCTATAGTAGCTTACACATCATCAATATTTTCTTAATATGCTCTTTTATTATATCTTCATCTTATCCTGCCCAAAATTTTAAAATTCTATTCATTTGATCCTAGTTAATATTATCGAATTTCTTTTATGGTATACCTTCAATTGATTGTTTATTTTCTTCTTATGTATATACAACTAAAAAGTATTAAACTTTAGATTTTAAATAATCTAATTATTTAATAAGAAAAGTTTATTGTTATTAGGTTGAACTCAATTTCTTAAAATAACTATTTTAATTATCTTACCCAATATAATAAATCAGTCATTTCTGCATTTATATTTTTTTCATTCCTTTTACAATTTAATCTAATCTTTTTGACAATTTTGTGGGTTTCACTATTTTTGTTGATATTAAAATATTTATTATTTCTTAGTGTTCTTCTTAGAATGACTTTGCTATATTTTTACCCAAACTTTCAATACTTCCTTGAATACATTCACATTCAGATAAAGATATCAGATAGCAATTGCTCATTTTGATAATATTCCTTTAACAATAATTTTATTGTTTTTCAGCTTAAGTCTTAAATATTCTATCTTCTTCAACAGGTAAAAAAGGAGTTTGATCAAAATTTTCCATACATTTTGTTCTTTAACTTAAGCTAGGTAAATATTATAATTTAATTTTATTCTCATCGTTTTTGCTTATAAATAGCTTCAAATACAAATTATTCTGGTATTTAATTATACCTTATTCAATATTTGGTTATTTTTATAAATAGAGAAATCGCATCAACAGATTATGAAGGCTAACTTAAATATTAAAATAACAATTAAACAATTGATTATTATCTCCTTCCTTCTAACAAATAAATAAGTTTCTCTTATTATAACAAAATTTATACATATATCGTTTAATATATTAATTTGCTTCATTTTTTCAAACAGAATTTTTCATCTTTTGTTGATTATTAAAGCTTAGCTATTTAATGATTTGTATTGATTATTGTTTAGAATTAAATTTTGATTCTTATATTGAGATTACACTTTAAGAAGTAAAATCAAGCAAATTTTTAAAAAGCAATGGATACTACTTGATCATCTAGATCTGCATTACAATGAAAAAGTAAAATTTCTTCGTCCACTAACAAGTAATCTTAGAAAGTTTGCACTTCTAAAGCTATTCGTAGCCATAGGAATTGAAACTCAAGAAATGAATATCTACATAATGTCTACATTCANTCCTAGTTAATATTATCGAATTTCTTTTATGGTATACCTTCAATTGATTGTTTATTTTCTTCTTATGTATATACAACTAAAAAGTATTAAACTTTAGATTTTAAATAATCTAATTATTTAATAAGAAAAGTTTATTGTTATTAGGTTGAACTCAATTTCTTAAAATAACTATTTTAATTATCTTACCCAATATAATAAATCAGTCATTTCTGCATTTATATTTTTTTCATTCCTTTTACAATTTAATCTAATCTTTTTGACAATTTTGTGGGTTTCACTATTTTTGTTGATATTAAAATATTTATTATTTCTTAGTGTTCTTCTTAGAATGACTTTGCTATATTTTTACCCAAACTTTCAATACTTCCTTGAATACATTCACATTCAGATAAAGATATCAGATAGCAATTGCTCATTTTGATAATATTCCTTTAACAATAATTTTATTGTTTTTCAGCTTAAGTCTTAAATATTCTATCTTCTTCAACAGGTAAAAAAGGAGTTTGATCAAAATTTTCCATACATTTTGTTCTTTAACTTAAGCTAGGTAAATATTATAATTTAATTTTATTCTCATCGTTTTTGCTTATAAATAGCTTCAAATACAAATTATTCTGGTATTTAATTATACCTTATTCAATATTTGGTTATTTTTATAAATAGAGAAATCGCATCAACAGATTATGAAGGCTAACTTAAATATTAAAATAACAATTAAACAATTGATTATTATCTCCTTCCTTCTAACAAATAAATAAGTTTCTCTTATTATAACAAAATTTATACATATATCGTTTAATATATTAATTTGCTTCATTTTTTCAAACAGAATTTTTCATCTTTTGTTGATTATTAAAGCTTAGCTATTTAATGATTTGTATTGATTATTGTTTAGAATTAAATTTTGATTCTTATATTGAGATTACACTTTAAGAAGTAAAATCAAGCAAATTTTTAAAAAGCAATGGATACTACTTGATCATCTAGATCTGCATTACAATGAAAAAGTAAAATTTCTTCGTCCACTAACAAGTAATCTTAGAAAGTTTGCACTTCTAAAGCTATTCGTAGCCATAGGAATTGAAACTCAAGAAATGAATATCTACATAATGTCTACATTCATCAAATCGAGAAGCGGAATATTTATGAACGTTAATAAAGTGTATTACAAAATTGTTGTATTGTGGGTCTGGAGAAAAGTAAGATGCAATAGTGGTGAGATTACTATAAAAGTAAAATAAATAGTTTCAAATCCTGACTTATGTATTGCTTAGAGATAAATATGATGTTAGAGAGAGAATGTGTCATTTTTTAAAACATAATTAATATAATGATTATCTAAAATTAAACAAGCAATATTATATAAAAAAATTAATCAATGGAATTGTTTTATTTTTATTTTTTATGAATTAAATCCCTTTTGAAGAATTAGTAGAAGAACTAAACTTACATATTACGAGGATATTGAAGATACTTATTCAAGGAGAGTAAAATATTAAAAAATATACTTATGTCGAAATTTTATAAAACTAAAATGAAGAACAAGGGAATAAAGATTATTTGATAGAAAAAGAGAATAAAGATTAATTCAAAGAAAAAGATAATAAGGATTAATTTAAAATCAATAATATAGAAGGTTATTATTTTAATCTAAAGTAAAAATGAAGGAGAAGGATAAATTTAATAAAAATAGGATATATTATAAACATTTTTCATGAATATTAAAAATAATAACTAGAAAATAGCCATATTTATAAGATAACTAATAAGTAAAGTAGAAACTTCAAGATAAATAAAAAAAATCTTATTAGAATAATTGATTGACCAATTAAATTGAAGTCAATTAAAAAAAATATTAAATGGGCCTGATGACGAATAATAAAGTGAACAAAAATTAATAAATGTCAAAAAGCCATATAAATTTTGCTAACTTGATCAAAGATTAAATAACAAACTTTAAACTTAATTTTTTCATAATTGATTAATATAGTCGCTGGAATAGACACAAATAAAAAAAAAAAAAGTTAAATCAAGAAGATAGCATATAAGAAATACTTGAATAAAGTGATAAAAAGAACGAAATCACAAAAAGTTAACTTTTACACGCACTTCCTTAAAAAAATTTAGAAAATTTTAGGTTTCGTGTGTAAAAAGTGGTGAACTGTTAAGATCTTATAAAATGTCACTTATGTCTCTCCAAGTATAAAAGATAACAAAATTTTGTGTCTCATTGGTAGAAGAAGCATTTAGAAGAGTACAATAGCTTCATCTATAAGAAATAGTGATGAGTGAATAATAAAGCATCAATGATTATTATATTTACAAAATATAATTATTTGATTTCTAATTTTTTTTATACTCAGATTTTATTTACATTTAGTATTAAATTATTTCTATCAAGATTAAGAAATACAG